ACACCTGTAGCAGTGGATGATCGAGGCGCGCATGTGTGTGTTTTTGTACCATAGGCTTGTCGTCATGGAAACGTGCAGCACCTTGAGCACCTGTTATTCTATGGAGCGGAGATGAGCACTCAGAATGCCTCAGGAAACACAGCACTACACCTGTGTGCCCTCTACAACCAGGTACGCACACCCACAAATACATATACAAACATTCTCCATTCTCAACTCCATCAGATGCTTTCTCAGAATATTTGGTATGTTCGTACAATTTTTAAGTAAACACTATGCAGTATGCATTCTTGTGCATTTTTGTAATGCACACTCATGCAAAAAAATTGAGGATGACCTGCTACATATGTCAAAATGTGTGAAATGTAACTATAGCGAACTGAGTGGAATATTGTAATTGTACCCAACTCCAGCTTCCTCTGCTGGTGTGACAAATGAACCTGAAGTGATATTAACTGCAGTTTTTTAACATCATCTGTCATCTTTCAAGTACATTAACATGCACAAGTTCAATTTCAGTCAGACTAAAACATTAATTTTGTTCTTAAAAAAATGTAAATGCTTCAGTTTGAACAAATACTGTCGATGTTTGCAACAATTTTGATGTTGTTTGGTTTGTATAGTTCATCCATATTTGCATTTAGCCTAAATGTAGACTACTGTGAGACTGGATATGTATTTTCTTGCCCCTGAAATTTTGGTATATGTAGGTTGAAACTAACTATATTTTCTATTGCAAAAATACATTTAATTGACTATTAGATTTTGTTCTTCTTAGTATTTGTTTTATTATAGATTATGTTTTCATCCAAATATATTAAGGATGCGCTGCCTTCATTGCTTCCTCAGGGAACACACCTCTATTTCACATTTTTTAAAATAAAAATATAGTAGTCAGTATACATACTTCGCAGTAAGCTATATGCTAGTATTTCACTGCAATTGTATATAGTTATCAAACTCAGCTGGGCATCAGATCACATATAAAACGTACAGGGTGTTATAACTGTAATCTCCTCTCATGTTTTCTCTTGCACTCACCACCTTTTTATTTATTCTCTCTGCCATATCTACAGGAAGGCTGTGCTAGAGTTCTCCTGTTTCGAGGAGCAAATAAAGAAATCAAGAACTACAACAACCAAACAGCATTTCAGGTATGAAACATCTCTCAGATGTTTTGGATCAGCTCTAGTTCCTTTCCTATTATGTTGCATTTTTTTTCTTTCTCGTAGGTTGCTATCATCGCAGGGAACTTTGACCTGGCAGAAATCATCAAGATTCATAAAACCTCAGATGTTGGTGAGTTGATCAGGATTTAGTTTGAATTGCTTGAAGCATCAGGGCTTGAATCTTGGGTCTATTTACTCGGCACCACAACACCATAATAAGTTTTCGTGGGTTGTCTAGATGAAATCAGTTCACTAATTCAAACCCATTATTGGGTATCATTTCAGATAAAACCTCGATTTATTATTTAGTTTAGTGGATGCAGCACAAGTGCTCCTTTCAGAGTAAATGCAGAAATGACAACATAAGAGTGGTTGATCATACGAAGCAGCGTGAATCTAGTAACTTTATCACAGCCTGTCAAAACAATCCATAAATGCATGATTTTTATTTTTTTAATTTCAGACAGTCAGATCTAGATACTGTTCCTATCAGCACTCTAACTTTTTTAAATAAGTGATGTATTTGTCTAGTGTATGTGGGCTAATCTCTTTATGATTTGTGTGTGTTTCTCTTTGTAAATCTCAGTCATGCTCTGTGTGATGTAATCTGTGAGTCATCTGTTTGTAATTTTTGTGCAATCTGAGTGTGTGTTTCACGTGCTGATCTTCCTGTGCGGTCTTCATGATGTATTTGATTAACTAACTAGTGCAAATCCTTGCTTCGCACCCAATTTGTGTGTGTTTGTTTTAAACACAAAACTGTGTGTTTAAAGTGGTCATATCATGAGAAATCTAATTTCATTCAGTATACTAAATCTTGCTGTATCTTTCAAAACTGAAAACGTCCTTCCCAATCTAAAAAGGCCATTTAGTGAAACAGAACTGCAAAATCTTTCTCATATAAATCAGATACAGTTGCATTCATAAGTTCACATTTTGCCATTGTTCATAAGATTTTTTTTGTAGAATGTATAAATGAACTGCACTGTGTATTGCCTCCTCAAGCATCAGTGACTGTCACCTGTTGTGATAGTTGTGCATGACTCACAGTCACTCAATACCTTATTACATGTTTAAGTTCTCAAGCACAGTTGCTCAGAGCATGCTGGGAAACCAAGAATTTACTGTACCTGAATGGATTTAGTATAGAGCAGGGACAGGGACAAACCGGCGACTCATTCACAACTATCACAAAAGACTATATAAGCAAACACTGATATTTAAGGAGGCAACACATGTTATTAAGAACCAAGGGTTGTTATATAAAAATGTATAATTTTTCTCATATTTATTTATTCTTATTTTTAAGTAGTATTTTGTATTATTTGTTTTAATTTACACAGTGAAGAATATGCAGTGTTTTTATACATTTGATTACTTAATACAATGTATGTAGCATTTCTTATTTATTTGTTCTACTGTAGTTTTTTGTCCTATTGTTTGTAATTATTTTCTTATTCTAATTTAATTGCTGACTTGTCTTCAGTGAGCTTGAGGTTTGTTTATTTAGACTTATTAGACTAGTATTAGTTTTTTGTGATATTGACAAGAGTGGCAAGAATGATGACATTTCTATGCTATCAAAAATTTAGATATCTTAAAGCAAAAATAACTATATTGTGATATATATCGTTATCATGAAATAAAATTACTCGTATCGTGATATAAGGTTTTGATCGTATCGCCCACTCCTTATAATAATAATTAGTATTAGTCGAATTTTTATTATCTGTTTTATTTATTTATTATTTCTCATTAAAAATTCGAAATATCTTACTGATTCTGCAAGTGGTTTTTAAACCTATAAACAAATGTATATTAACACAAAACCTGCAAATCAACATCACCTATAAAGAGCATTTACGTTTGAAATGTTAAAGGTACAGTAGCAAAATTGCACTTTTAATTATAAAGGTGGATGAAAACATAAATGACTTTGTTTCATATGTTTTAGGTTTTTGAGGTTTGATATGACCCTTTTAAAGTCCGACTTTATTTATGATATTTACATCCATAAACCATGAACCATCAAGGACTTGCAGCCTATACATGACCTCCACCTGACCATTTCAATCAAAATTAATTGGACGTATTATAATCTTAAACAGCAGCTATACACATCTTAAGCCGTTCTAACACCGTGGTTCACAGATGGGGTGCTAGTCTTCAGGTTATGAGTGATTCCTCTCTATCTCAGCCTGATACAGGTTAATCTGTTCTGCTAGTCTTTTTCTTCATGATAGATTGGACATCTCTATACCAGCCTCCTGGAGAGTGTTCTTGATCCATTCGACAGGCGAAAATGGGTTTTATTCACAACTGATAGGATTCTTCGAGAATCCATTACAGTGGTCATTCTGGTCTAGCAGATCATTTAATGTTTCTGCATGATTTTTCGATGATTTAGGCAACTACACCGTAGCTGAAGTTGATCCAGGTACGTATTCAAATACAATTTCCTGGAAAAATCAATTTGGGATGGAAGAAAATAGCACTGTTTCTGTGGCGCTTTTAAAAAGTTGCTTTGTTTGAATGACACAGCGGGATATTAAACAACTGGATATTAAAAGGACTGCAATTTCCAAATGGTTCTCGGATGTAAATATATATTTTTAAAGATAAAAGTGCACTTTAATAAATATAATGTGCAGCAGTAAGAGCCAAATTGTGTTATAGCACAAATGCATATTTCCTTTTCCATAATTGGTGTGTGTGGTGTGAATCTTTTGTTATGTGTATGTCTGATATCTTCCACAAATTTACATGGTTTTATATTACAAGCATGGAAATCAAATTGACTACAGCAATATAAATATCGCTAGGCTCTGTGTGTTTTTATGTAAAGTATGCATAACTATTTATGTGTTGCCGTCTTCCTGTAAAAGTGCCTTTCAGGGAGACCCCTTCTTATTCGTCTCGGCGGCGTGCGGTCTGCGTATCCCCTCGTCGCTCTCTGATGCGATCGGCCAGTGATAATGCTCTAGATGAGAGTCTCACAGCTCCCTCTCCGGCCCCCTCACTTCGCAGCCTGCCCCCACTGGAGCCCGACGACACCACCCCGTCCCAGCGCAGCCCCCAGGCTGCTCACACGCGCAGCCTCAGGAGACACACCCGCTCAGGAGGACACCTCAGGTGCGGAGCTATCCTTGATTTATATTAATCAGAGGTTCCATTAAACCAATGTGATTTTCTTTTTTGCTTTTTCTATTTGAACACAAAATTAGATATTTAGCCACATGTCCAGACTGCTCTTTTCCATAAAATTAAATGTCATATTTATTTAATTTTTGCTTTATTTTCAGTTTTTTAAATTTCAATTATTTACATTTAATTAATTTATTTACACTTCACTTCATCCAAGGAGTCATCCTTGATTTGTATTTTTTTTCTTTGCTTTTCTATTTGAACACAAAATTACATACATTTAGCTACATGCCCTGACTGCTCTTTTTTGGTGGAAAAAATAATAATAAAGTTTTTAGCCATTTAATTTTAATTTCATTTTTTATGTAATTATTTATCATTTTAATTTATATTTAATTTGACTTATTTCTGAAAAAATCTAATAAGTTTTTCCCCCATTCAGTGAAAACGCATGGTGATTGAAGTTCAGTTGAAATAAATAATAATAATTAATAAAGCATTGATTACCTGACAAAAAAAAAGACAATATCCACCTCAGAGTTGGTTGTTAATCATTTCTGCACACGTGTTTGCACACCGCAGCCCTGGCAGTCCTGTACAGAGAGAGCCAAGTCCTCCAGCCGTGTCTCGAGGGCCCAAACGACGGCTGTACAGTGCGGTGCCCGGCCGAACCTTCATCGCTGTCAGCTCCCACACTCCACAGGGCGAGGGTGAGATCACACTCAACCGAGGAGAGAGGGTCAAAGGTCAGTCAGCCAGCCTCTCTGTGTGAGATGCAGCAAAAAGATCACGTTATTTTTATGCTGGAGTTGAATATTTCTTCAACTATGGGCTACTATGTCTACTCACAGTGTTCAATAGTGAATATACATGCATTACAGGAGAATTGAACCATCATGAACAAATTAGGAATACAATTGCAGACTGTCTTGCAGAAGCTAAATGCATAACTATTTTATATATATATATATTTATTTATAAATTTTATTTAAACTTTTTTTTTTAAGTGTGATGGCTTGGTATGGAACAACAGTAAAACAATAATATTTACACTTGAAGGCATTTGAAAAAGTAACAAATGAGATTAAGACTTGGTAAAAAGTGCCTACCAAGAGAGATTTAACATAATATTCAAGTAAATAAATATAAAAAATAAATAAATAAATAAAAGTTTTAATATCTTGGAAAATAAATGCCTGCAGTTGAATAACCATCCATATATGAGTTAAATATCCGAAATACAGCATATAACAGTTTATACGTGTCTCCACCAGTGCTAAGCATAGGTGAAGGTGGATTCTGGGAAGGCTCAGTTAAAGGACGAACTGGCTGGTTTCCTGCCCACTGTGTAGAGGAAGTCCAGATGAGACAATATGACCCACGACTTGGTCAGTGTGCACATACACACACCTGCATTCAGAGCATTTAACAGCATTATTTTAAAGTATTCTGCAGTTTAATGTTCAGATCTTATTGTTATTGATGTGCCCACTCATCTGTTTCTCAGAGACAAGAGAGGATCGCACCAAGAGACTTTTCAGGCACTACACTGTTGGCTCCTACGACAACTATACCTCTTACAGGTATATATTCAACCATATATATATACACATGTAAATATCATCTGAGTGTTCCATGCATTACTGTGCACAGTATACATACTGCAGAAATAATATGAGTAGAATGGTATTGTGCTTTTCCAACCATTGCCTTTCTCTCTCCTTCATCCTGAATAAAATAAAATATGGTGCCAGTGTAGGGGATTATGTGTATGGGAGGGGGAATCTATGAAGACAGTGAGTTCTGGCAGTGCAGCACGTCTGACTATTGACTTCTATAAATTCACAGTGATTATGTTATAGAAGAAAAAAGTGCAACGTTGCAGAAGAGAGACAGCGAAGGATTCGGCTTTGTGCTTCGGGGAGCTAAAGGTCTGAAACACACTCACATGCATGTATGTTTGCACGAATAACATTCACATACAAATGCAGTAATTAAATGCTCTTTCTTGTCAGCTGAGACACCCATAGAAGAGTTCACACCTACTCCTGCTTTTCCTGCCCTGCAATACCTGGAGTCTGTGGACCTGGAAGGGGTGGCGTGGAGGGCAGGGTTAAGGACTGGAGATTTCCTCATAGAGGTTAAAAAACCTTTTGATTTATACACACACATACACAACTTTTTCTTTGCTAAAGCAGTGATTTTCAAACCATATATTCAAAAACTGGCCTAAATTAATCATTGTAATTAACAAAAAGAAAAAAGAAAACATTTAATTATTTGACTAATCTGAGAAGTCTTATACGTCACCAGAGAAGTCTGCCATTTGATTAAAAATTACAAGCTCAATTTAAAAAAAAAAATCATCATTCACAATAAGATCAATAACATGCATTTAGAAAACAGATTGGGTGAATTTCAATTTCATACTGACGTTTTTAGACTAAAGAATGTCATCATGCTTCTGCTGGATTTCTACCGGCTATGTGTTACATCTTTCTCTAATTCTCCGCACATTTGTCAGGTAAATGGGGTGAGCGTAGTAAAGGTGGGACATAGGCAGGTGGTATCACTGATTCGGCAAGGTGGAAGTCGGCTAGTAATGAAGGTGGTGTCTGTCACACGCAAACCTGACACTGGAGACGTCGTCCGCAAGAAAGGTTCTTGTCCTCTCTTCATTAATGCATGCACACCATGCATTTTTCTTTTTGTTTGACTGGACATCAAGAATTAGAGAATCCTGCAAAATCTAAATATCGCATTTCTTGTTCTTTCTGACAATTAATTAGCCCCACCACCTCCCAAGAGAGACCCAAGCACCAGCCTGACCCTACGCTCAAAAAGCATGACTGCAGAACTGGAGGAGCTGGGTAAGACAGATGCTCATACAAACCTCCTTGTGTTATGCTAGGTCTCAGATAAGTTAAGTTAAAACAGATGTTATCATTATCTTTGAGGGCATAGGCACATGTTGGATCCTTTTTTCCAGGAACACTAATTGAGAAATACGTGCAAATTAATGTCTTTCCGTGAGAAAGATACAGCAGTGAAAGGAGTTTGAATGATTGTGCAGTGATAGCTTTGCTCATTCATTGCTAATGAAAATTGACCATCTAATACGCAATCTATGAGCTAAACCAGGAACTATAGATTTGTCCTTCTTGTCCACAAGCGTCAAGGAGAAGGAGGGGAGGTAAGATATGAAACCAGTCTCACGTTAATGATGTCCTTTACTGGTTCTATATGCTGATTAGCATGTGATGTCATGGATGGATTTATCTAACCTGTTTTTTTAGCTTGTGTGTTGTTGCCTGTGACTGCGAAAAATTGTAAAGTCAAAGTATGTGTATGTGTTTGTTTGTTTTTTGTGGATTGTAGACAGCTATTATGTATGTGTTTTGTGATGTATTTGTGACTGTATATTTGTTTTCGCGTTCCTTGAGACTATGTATATTATACATTTGGAATCTGTGTACTTGTATTATTTGGTGCACCTGGTGACTGAGTTTGGTCTTTTTTGATTTGATCAGAGGAAGGACTGGAATATTGGTCAGGAGTGTGTATTAAGTGTTTCTGTATGTGTGTGCATCTGTGTGTATCCCTCACAGAGAAGTTGGATGAGATGTTGAGTTCGCCCAAAGAACCGGTTGTAGTGATGAGGCCACGTCCTGCGGATTCAGACTCCAGAGCAGCCACTGTGAAACAGAGACCAACAAGTCGCCGCATCACACAGGCTGAGATCAATGTTAGTCTGATACACATAAACATACACCATTTTAAAAAATTGTGTACTTTTAAGTGTTTTTATTATATTATAATAATATAAAAGTTATCATTATGTTTTCATTAAAACTAAATACAAGAGCACTTGTTATATATGGCAATATATAGTTTCTGACATACTATGCATTGTATGCAACAGATGGTGCATATATCACTACTATAGTACAGTAGCCAAATTGTGTCAGTAAAGATCTGGCTGCTGATCAGTTGTTGTTTATAATGCATATTGTCTTTAGGTTAAAAAAATGAAATTTGCTGTGATTGCATTTTCTGTTTATTTCTTTGATAGCTGATTAATCAGAATCTGTGATTTGTTTGTTGTTCTGACAGTAACTGAATTCTGGCCAGTATTTGATCACGTATTGTTTTTGTTTGTGTGTAGTCTCTGTTAGAGAGGCAGGGTTTGCAAATAAGTTCCCTGGCTGTGGACAAAAGTCACATGCAGCTGCCTCGGGGAATGTCAAGAACCAAGTCATTTGGTAATGTGTCATTGGCACATACACAAATACAAACATTCTCACAAATTCTGTCTTTTCATAAACATAAACCAATGATATAAAAATGTCTATTAAAACACAATGATCACCAGTTCATCACAGTTCTAATCTTTGTACACCCACAGTCTCACCGAAAACTGTTTTACAGGTGCTCCTGAAGATGAAAGAATCGCAGCCCTGATTGGAGAGCATCGCTTTCCGAGAAGCTCCTCGATGACTGACAGCTTTAGACAAGACAGTATTCCACCCCCTCCACAGACAGCTCCTCCACCACCTCCAACTCCCTACTTCCTAGATTCAGGGCCCCCTCCGTCCTTTCTTCCACCTCCGCCCCCTTCTCGCACTGCCAACCAGAGCCGTTCAAGCTTCCGCCCGGGGGCGGAGCCCAAACTCCATGGCCCAGTCACGACAGACCGCCAGCGAAAAACACGCTCCATGATCATTCTTCAGGACACCACCCATTTGCCAGTGGAGCCTGCCCCTATTGCAAGACCACAAACGCCTACCTCTGGAGCGGTTCCACCTGAACGTGGTCGTAGGCGTGGACCACCTGTGGAGAATCCGTATGCTAACGTAGGTCGTCTAAGTGCAGTCTATACTCCTACCAAGCCACAGCGTAGAAAGAGCCCACTAGTCAAACAAGGACCAGTTGAGGAAGGAGCCGTTACTCAGACTAGTAGAGACCCCTCTCCTTTGGGAGGGTTACGGATTCCCCACAGTAGCCGAGCAGAGCAGTTCCAACAGCAGGTTCTCTCTGAGCGAGCTAGAATTACACCTCCAGGGGCCCGACGCAGACCCAGCGTTTTCCTATCTGTAGAAGGGGGCGCGACTGAGCCGCAAACAACCCCGTTACTTTCTCAGTCCCACTCAGTGGATGAGTTGGCCGAGTTGCCTCCACCTGCACCAATGCTTTCCCCTGGCCCACCACCAGGGGGCACCACTTTTATACACCCTCTAACAGGTCGACCACTGGATCCTTCCTCACCTCTAGCACTTGCACTGGCTGCACGAGAACGTGCCCTTAGTGGCCGGAATACACCCACTCCTACGCCTTCGCCCACACCTTCGCCCACTCAAGGTCGAGCAGTTGAAAGGCCAGAGACAGTAGGAGGAGCGACACCACCTGCTCCTCTTGAGGCTCCTCCATCTAATTCCTGGAGAGACGAACCGGTCAGCATCACAGAAACGGCAAGCCAAGTGACTAGCGGTAGCCCTGGGTCTGGACGAAGCCTGGAAGAGGTACTTGTCCCACCCAGCGTGCAAGGTGTCCAACCTGCGCTGATGGATACAGAACATACCCCACCGGCAGTCCCACCCACTCTACCTTCCCCTGCCCCTACCCTCTCAAATCTGACTGCTCGAAGTCTGACTATGAGCTCAGAGGAGGACGCGGAGCCTTACACAGTGACACTTCCCCCTGCGTTGCTCTCGTCCAGTGATGAGGAAACCAGAGAGGAGCTTCGGAAGATAGGCCTCGTGCCGCCCCCTCAACCCTTCTCTAATGGCCTTCTAATTAACGAAACACCCAAAGCCACTCTAAGCATTTCACCTAGCGGATCACGGCCATCCATTGCAAAGACCTCCTCTGGAAAAGCCAGCGATTCTACGGCAGACTCTGGGGTTGAAGACCCACATATGGAGACCACCAGTACTGTTTCCACAGTCTCCAGCATGTCCACTTTGTCTTCAGAGAGCACAGACTCTGCTCATGCTAGCAAACCACGTTCTGGGGTGGGGCGTGGTCGCCCCGCCCATCTCAGGGACCCACTGCTTAAACAGTCATCAGACAGTGAGCTGCTTCCACACCCACCCAGCACAGGCCCCAGCCGTCCACGCTACCTATTCCAAAGACGTTCCAAACTCTGGGGGGAGGAGCCCCGGGGCCAGATGGGTGGGTCTGATGAAAGTCGGCCTGCTGCTATGGGGGCAGAGTTGCTAAGCAAAGACACTCATTCTCTGGGGGAGGAGCCACCGATGGGAGCACCTCTTGACCCTGGCAGGAGATCACCTGTGGGAGGTGCCAGGTAGGAAATACCTGTTAAAAACTGCACCAACTTAACAACAGCAGCACATCTGCACACCTGCATGAATCACAGCACAACTTTCAATATTATTTAGCAATACACCCACTTGACTTTTGACACCCTTAGCCACACACCTGGTTAAAACTGCCTATCCATAACACACGTGTGTGTGTGTCTGTATGTCCTTGCAGATGTGAGGAGAATGGAGAAGAGAGTAAATCGTAGGTTTTTAGCTCTGTGGGTAAAAACAACTCCTTGTCTAACTAACTTTCACTAAACCCTTTACTGCAGCCGTTAATCAAGCTGCAAATGCTACTGTGGGCTTGTATTAAAGGCTTATGGTAGTTCATTATGCAGTAACTGAGGCATTTAAGCTTCTGTCTGTCTTTGCGCAACGAAACTGGAATTTTCAGTGTACCGCTGGGGGCCAATCAAATTGCTTTTTCATAAAAAGTAAATGAAACAAATGTTGAATCTACATTTAGTTTGTATTGCTGCATTGATTGTGGTAAGTTTATTGCAGCAAGTTTCGGATGTTTACAAAATGAATACTGATTGCATGCTGTGGTGGAAATACTGTGAAATGCTAATGCACCATTTTTATACCCATTCTGAGGACTCCAGTTTTATATTAACTGCTCTAACTGTCATTTTATTGCATTAAGTTTTCTGCATGCTCTGCACTATTTAAACCCCAATGCTTACAGCATTGGATCCACTTTCCTTTTCTCTCACATTAGCACCCCAGTAGTTTCCTAAAAGTACTGCAATTAAAACTCTACCTTTGTTTTCTTTTTTGCTTCCGCTACATCTTCCTCTTTCATATTTTTCCTTTAATTGTCTTTTATGTTTTCACTCTCTCTCTTAGACTCTTTAGTAGTTTAGGGGAGCTTCACACCATCTCTCAGCGGAGTTACGGCACCACCTTCACAATACGTCCTGGCATTCGATACCCAGTGACCCGTAGGACTCCAAGCCCTGGAGCCACACCAGAACGGAGTGAACCGCTGGGGCCTGTCCGTACATTCGGCCCTCATCACCATCATCACACAATCCTCAAGTCTTCTAGCCTAAGTTTGCCCCAGGAGCCCAAGGAGGTGCGTTTCGTCATGAGGAGCGCCAGCGCTCGAGCCCGCAGCCGTTCTCCATCCCCCTCTCCATGTGCCTCCCCCTGCCCTTCACCGGTACTGGGAGCCCCTCTCCTGGCCCTGCGGCCATTCAGACAGCGCCCCCTAGCACTGTGGAGTAAGTATGATGTGGGAGAGTGGCTAGAGAGTGTGGGACTAGGAGAACATCGTGCCCGTTTTTTGGAGCACGAGATTGAAGGCGCCCACCTGCCTGCACTGACCAAGGACGATCTGGCAGAATTAGGGGTGACGCGGGTGGGACACCGAATGAACATTGAACGTGCACTGAAGCAGCTGCTGGAGAGTTGAGGAGAGACAAAATGCAGGATATAGTCCCATCACAAAATAAATTTGTACTATTAAAATTTCAAGTTATTCCGAAGTCTAACACCATAGTTTCCAACCCACATTTTTTTTAGCATTGCTCAGCCCTTATATAATATAGATTTTACCCAAGCATCAACAATTTAACTCCCACAAAACCCACCATGTTTCTTCACTAGTTTGCCACCTACTAAGAGTAAAAATAACATGCTGGACAGGAGTGTGGACCTACTGCGCAATATCTACTATTTACAGCTACAGGTCTAAGAAAATCAAACTGGCCATGTTTTTAACTGGGTCTTCTGCACAATAACAAATGATATAGCCAGCAAGCAGCCATTTCCTTCTCGTGCCATGTTTTACAATCAAATGATGATGATGAAGGTGTGGCAAACATACAGACTGCTCTCACATTATCAGAGGAAGTCTGAGAATATCTTCACCATCTGGATTTGTGTGCATTTCCTGCTTCCAGGAGAGAGACTTCTGAATTTTAGAAAGCAGCGTTAACTTGAGTGCAAAGGGAAAGGAAAGAGCAGAAACCTCTCCTGTAAACAATGCCAATGCTTCCAAGTGCCCGGAATTTACAGTATGTTCACCGACCATCTTGCAACTCAATAGTAGATAGCCATGTTAATGGTGATTATAAGATGCGTTGCAGTAACTGGACTTGGCATGTGAATGCAACATGTCCAAGTAAGAAAGAATCTGACAATCTGCCCTAAACCAGGAGAATAAAACTTCTCCCAATACAATACAAGTGTGGCCTTGAGGTAATACTGCCGCCATCTAAAATTTGTTAAAGATAGATATTTTCAGTCACTACATTCAATTTTATATGTATATGCTATATATGGAGTTATATATTCAAAAAAAAAAAAGAATGTATGAGAATAAGGTGAGATATACTTGTCTTATGCCCTGTGAGATTGTGTCATAT